TATTTTGAAAAAAATAAATCGCCATTTTAAAAAATGTCAATATTTTAGTAACAAAAAGAGCTATCGAAGAAAGTTTGAAATAAAAGTTGCAAGATTGGATGAGATAAATTCAATGACAGTAGAAAAAAATTTTCAAAATGGCGGTTATCGAGATATTGACATCAACTTCTTAATGGACGCCATATTGGATTTGTACGTCATTTCATAGAGAAAAAAATTACAAAACCAGTGATACTAAACACTCAGTATTTCATTTTTCGTTCGTTTATTGTCTCACATAGTCACCGTCGACACGGCCATGGAATTATTGCCATAAGAAATACATTGTAAACTTCGAGGCAAAAATGTAAGGTTGATTCCCAAATGAAATATTAAGTGTTTAGTATCACTGATTTTGTAATTTTTTTCTCTATGAAATGACGTACAAATTAAATATGGTTTCCATTTAAAATAAGGAAGTTGATGTGAATATCTCAAAAACCGCCATTTTGAAAGATGTTTTTCTACGTCTACTGTATTTATCCATCGAATCTTGGAATTTTTATTTTGAAAACTTTTTCGATAGCTCTCTTTTGTTACTAAAATATTTTGAACTATTTAAATATAACGAATGCGTGAGAAAAACGGAAAGTCAATGTCCCTACGATTTACGGACGACCTGTACGTATCTGCATTTCTCCGTTACGCGTTTTATTCATAAATTTTAAACAACGTCGTCCCCAAGCTTGCTCGATACATTTTGCAATCCCGCAAATCCCGCTCAATTTCTTTACGGGATTAATCCCGCAAAAATGCTGCGGGATCCCGGTATTTCGAGATCCCGCGATCCCGGTATTGCTTCCCTAGTCCAATGAATATCATGTTTGCCCTCTTCAGCGCGTTTGATTTTCCTCTGCGAGGGGTGTGGAAAACTGTGGCGCCGCCGTGGCGCGTCGTCTGTTCCTGTATAGACTTCGACGATTAGGCGGTCATTTGAAAGAGACTGGGGTAAAGAACTCGGGCCTATCGGTATTTTTAGCGCATTTTCCAACGAAGTTAGGTGCGCTATTGCAGCCACTTTCTCTGTCCGTCGTCTGTCCGAGGCTTAACTACTCCTACAGTTTTCAAGATATTTAGTTCGTTCTTTTTGCATTCGGTAGCGTATTGCTTTGGCCCAGAGTCAAGGAAAATCTTGACGATTTATTTATTAATATATTTTGTTGAAATATTAATCACAGATACTTGTAGTAAAGGCAAATATATCGCATATGTAAAAATCAGATGTGCGCATGCGCACACTGCGCAATACCAACTTTCTTATTTATGGAGATATTTCTTTGAAATTTTAACCAAAGATGCTTATAGTAAAAGCAAACGTATTGCATATTGTAAATATCAGATTAAAAAGCGCATGCGCAATGTCAACTCCGCAGTAAGTGTCAACCTCCTTATTTATGAAGATATTTCTTTAAAATTTTAACCATATATGCCTCTAGTAATGAAAAGCATAGCGCACATAGGTATGGCCTTTGGGGAAGTATTGATCAATTTATGGAAAATGCGCTGAAGTTATTCGACTTAGGGCGAAAACCTTTTTACTTGTTTTCCGATCCTAGCATTAATATTATTAGGAGAAAAATATTCTCTCGTCATTTATGTGTGCATAATGACTTTTTAACTTGTTTTTATCTTGCCGACCGATGCTTAATTTGTTAGCAGTGATGGCGTTTAGTAGTAAGTAATTTTGTTCCAAGGAAAAATAGGAAAGTATTATTAATAATAATAAAGACCTACATAACCGTAAAAAAATAGGTATAAATTAATATACGTGAAAAGGGAATGTAACGTATGTGGGATGTCTAATATGTCTATATTAAAATTACGAGATATCCATGCTCGAAAGGCAGGCATATAAGAAGGTATACAGACACGCTACAAAAATGCCAATAATTTAATAACTAAGAAGGAATCTCCATATTTTTTTATATTTTAATATTGTGTCTTTCAACGGCGCATTTATACTACAGACGCTCAAATTGACGTTCCCCGGTCTATGATTAAAAAGTAATTGAAAATGCACGACAACTTGACTGTATGATTGGGGTAGATATGCAGATGTGAAAGGATGAGGGATTCGTATCCCGGCAACACACCCCTTTGTGACGTCACCCAGGTAACGAACACAGACCGGTAAGCTCGACATTATTGTCGTATTTCAAAGCTTTATTTTTCAGGAAATCAAAAATTGGGTACATGCATTATCAGACAAAGTAGCTCTAAACGTCTTGAAGATCACTACCCTTGCGCACAATATAGGCATATAGAAACGGCAAAGCTCTCTCTATTAGAAGCTCCGCTCTATGTGATTTCAGTATTTCTGTAATTCACATTCGCGTTGGCAGTCCCTTTGAAATTTATTAAAAGAATCTTACTGAACGTGACTTTCAGCTTGGCTCGCCTTTTATTTCAATTACGTTACTAATTAATGCAACACTTATACGGCATCGACTTCAATTAGAAAAGCATTTAATTTTTTTACCGGCGCTACTTCCCTCGGACAGATGGATGTCCGCAGCTCCGCAATATTGAATCAAATTTCTTTGATCGAATCTACCTGTTTACTGGTGCATAAATTCTCCACATATCAAAACCTTTCGAGTCGCTGGGCAATAATGTTGTCAAGTTTCTAAAGGAAAAAATTTGTCGCCTAGATACCCAGTACAAGCATTGAAATGTGAATGAAAACACGCTTAATATTTATAAAACAATCACAGTCTCTCCTTGCTCTTTTGCAGAAATTATATTTCATAAAGTTGTAAGATGTACCACTCTCGTAGTTCTGATTCGGTATAAACTCGTTTCATTAGTTCAAAGTTCAACAGTTTTACAGGAGATGAGTGGCACAATGGGGAATAAATGAATAAGCCAGTTCTGCAGCATCAAGTGTGGTCCATCCTTTTGTGCGTTCCAACACCGTTTATGCGCAGTGTAACACCTGTGCTATATCGTTTTTTTATATACAGGTCTGTTGTGTGTAATTTGATGTGGCACGAGCCATCATTTGACCTTTCACCTCAGCATCCCTTTTTCATCTCCGTGCCTTTTACCTGTTACGAATCCTATTACACGGGTTACAGTCAGATTAATGAGCAGATTTATAAGCTCATTTGAATATCCGTTTGCCAAACCCTGATGAAAACATCGACAAGGGCAGCCACGGACACATTTTTTTCTCTCTGGAACAGATAAAGTTCGGGTCGGTAAAAACCTTCAACCTTCATTCAAAATTTGCAATGCTTCAGAGTATTTAGAATTGAGTAAGCGAATATTAGCATGCAGCCTACTGTACCACGAAATGTATACGAATTATATATCTAATCTGTCTTTAATATAAGTTTAAAACTACTAAATAGAAGTAGATTCCACGCGAATCAAATGTGTACCTCAACAATATTTTCCCCAATTTGTTGTAGTTTGTTTCGGAACTACGTGAAACTTAATGTCTAAGGAAAGTTTGAGTATATCTTTAACATTTTTAACATTGGAAATGTTTAAGGTTTCGTATAGGTATGTGGGTACAAAGTTACGAATTTCATTCAAGCAGAAAAGACAACGGTGTCGCATCAAGTGACGATTGTACCGTACTTGACCGTGATTGGTAGGTGAAGGAAATGTCACGGATACTGTCGATAGGTACGGTACCTACTTATTAAAAAGTGAGGAATTGTTTTGTTAATTCCAGTCTAAAATTCTGACACATCTCCTTTGATAGTATTAGACGCATGTTACGACGCTAATTATTCATAGGTGTGACGTTTGTGTACGAGTGAGTTTGCGAGCGACTAGAACAAGTGATCTGATTCAGTATTTCTGTTTTGCGTTCTGCCTGCTGTATTGTCCGCGTGTTCAATATGTATTTATTTATTTACTTATTTATTTATTTATTTACTTATTTATTTATTTATTTATTTATTTATTTATTTATTTATTTATTGTCCGTCTTGTTCTGGGCCCTCGACAGGCTTTCGCCCAATTACAGAGTGACCCGCATAGTGCTTTTTAGAGGTGCCCCTGCAGAAGGTCTTAAGTTGTTCTATACTACTCCGGGATTTACCTTACGAATTAAGAAAACTTCGAGTGTTTATTGCTAGCGTCTACTATTACAGTTTGTACCAATTCATATTTTTTTTAATGTAACAATTGTGCTTTATTTGCAATAAACTTTTGACCTAGCTTTTGACTGATAAGGTGAATTCGATTGATGTATTGTTCCATCGTTCTTTATTTTAAACGTGTTGTGTGATGCAGAATGGAATCAAAGAAACTCTTTTTTTCATACACAACCTCACTTTTAGTATACTTAAACAATATCTTTCCTGATAACTAATACATATAACACCGTTAATAATATTACATGCTTCCTCATTTCACCGTATGACGCTCGGCCTGAAGATGACCTTATAAGGTCGAAATCGATAGCCGCAATAGGACCTAATAAAAAACGTGTTTAAAAAAGATTTTCTTTGATTCCATTCTGATAAGGTGAAACTGTTACAGTTAGTCGTGGAATGAAAACTTTAATCGTGACTGTATAAGTATCATTTTTATAGATAATTTTATGATCTACAATTTTTGTCTGAACTATAAATATGTTTGATAAAACTTACTTAGTTTTCGAGAAAAATCTAAAAAACTAAACATTTTGACCTTTGACCTTGAATAACTTTTTTTGCACACAAGGGATCTATGGGAACATTTGGCACTTTATTTTTACGTGTGTACTCAAGGCGTCTACCAAAAATCAGCTCTATCCGAATTTTGTTGAAATGTCTATTTTGACCTGATTAGTAGCAAACTTTTTATAATTCTGGATACCATAAATGGCTTCTTTAAAAAAATGTCGTTTTGAAGATATATTCAGTGTTTCAGACAAAATTTCCATCCTGCACTTACGTACGAGGGCATGTTTTTTAAAATTATGAAGGAGACAGTACAAAGCTTCAAAATAGTATATTGTGCAATAAGTGCGTGAAGTGAGATTTTGTACACGAGCGTGGAGTTTGCAGCACGAGCGTAGCGAGTGCTGCAAACCACGAGAGTGTACAAAATCCTTCACGCACGTGTTACACACTATACTTTTTCTACGACCATACATATAACAGAGTAACTTTTTATTGAACTAACATCACAGACAAATTAAACATTGGTTAATTTTCTTTGTTATAATAATTATTAATAGTAATGGTACAATTTGTCGGGTTGCTAATTTCTACCTTCGCTGAATCGCTTAATGGTTTTTCCATTACAGTGCTTTTAGCAGCAGTGTTATTTTGGACTGCCAATATTTTATTGGAAACTTCAATTTTCTTGTTGAGTGAATTTTCTACGTAACTTTCTGCGACGGTCGAAGATTTCCATCCTCCATGCTTTTTTAGAGTAAGTAAATCTCCGCCGGCTTCTACTAGTAATGTAGCAGAAGACCTTCTGAAAGAGTGACCGGTGTACTCTTCAGAATTGGGCAATTTTAAATATTTCGCAATTTCGCAAGGTACTTTGCCAATTTTATTTATGCCAATCACCTGACGAGTGCATTTTCCCCTTTGAAAATTAATAAAGGACTTGGTTTCGGGATAGTTTTGTGGACGAAGTGACGCATATTTTTTATATAATTCCAAGTGTTCAGTTACGGTGAATTTCCTTGAAATCTTGTTCTTGGTGTCATGGACATGCACTATAAGGATATTTCCCATATCTTGGATGTCGGTTGTCTTTAGTTTGTAAATTTCATCTCTTCTGAGAGCACCAGCCAATCCAAATACTAAAATGACCTAGACGAAACATAACAAGTACACATTTAAAGATTCATTTATAACAACTTACTTTAGCCAGTAAAAATGTTTCATCAGGTGCCTCCTTTATAAACTTCAAAATTTGTTCTTTTTCCAAAACTCTTGACTTTTTTGGACTGTATCCTTCATTTTTTCTTTTTAAATAGGCGCGTACTTTAGGATATTCACCAATATTTATGTTTTGCTTGACACTGAGAGTACTCTTCAACATCGAATAACTACTCCAAAGTGTTGAAGATTTAAAGTTTTTTGATAACTCAGATAAGTAAGTTAAAATAACATTCTCGGAGAAAGAATGAATGTTATTTTGATGCCTCCATTCCATAAATTTCTGGTACGTGTTCTCATATATGGTGAAAGACTTAACTGGTAGTAGGGCGGTGCTCGCTTGGTTGGCTATAGCCGTGATTTTAGGCGGGGTGCCTGGCAAATCGGTATCCATCATATAGCTGCTAAATTTTATAGATTAATGTGCTGAAAATGTCTCTTAAAGCTACAATAATGAACTTACGATTGACAGTAGTAAATCTAGCGTCTAATAACAAAACGTCAGAATTGCAGCCAAAGCACACTACGCCATAACAATGCCGATGTCGAAAAGTGTGTACGCTCTTATGGCAGCGATGCGTGAAATAAATCCCATAACAATTGCATTGCATTTCACGCATCGGTATTAAATATTTCGCTTTACACATTAATATCGATATGTGAAATTTCATTTCACGAATGGAAGTAGAAAAATGTATTTCCCTGCATAGGTAACTACCTGCTACATTAATACATTTAGTCCATTGTTTGTTTGCACTTCAAAAATAACGTTGCGGCGTTTTTTAGGTCATCATTTGGCTCACATTGTCGATTCCTGAGTTATTTTTAGATGTTTGAACAAAATAGAGTCGTATGGTACTAAATTTTGACTGTAGTAGAGCGGATGCGGTAATTTTGTTAGCTCTCGCTTTGTTATAATGACTTGGACATGGCGAGCTTTATGGACTCTGCAGTCATGGTGTTTGTTCGCCATTTTTTCGCGATTTTGGAGTTTGTTTCGTGAGTCGCAGTGACACACCCATGTTTTGTCTCTATTGACAATCCCCAAAAAAATAACCGTCATCGTTAGCCAAAGTGTCTAAATACTAATGAAAAAATTCACAGATTTCGCAATCCTTGCAACCACCGGAGACATTGGAAATGATAACCGTATACCTATAAAGCCGTAAATAACCCTTATTCACACGGAATAATCTACTTAAACTAATACTATCACGGGCGCTGTGCGAGCATTTTCAATTCGAATTAACAAAACCCCTGCGCACTGTTAAGTAAGTACCGTATCGACAGTATCCGCGACTTTGCCTGAATCTACCGATTGCAGTGAAGTACCACTTGCCTTCTTTTCTACTCGGCAAACCTGGTAAATTCATACCCCATACAAAACATAAGCACTTCCAATGCTAAAATCTTGTCCTGCCCACACAAGTTTCTGCTCTGGAGTAGGCGAATCCATCGACTAAAAATTTTTACATGCCCAAATTTTGGTTTGTAATCTTGAATAATGTACTTTCAGACACTCCACTTGCTTTTAGTACGTCTTCCTTTCCCTTATTCAGTCATATTACATAGGTACTGTCAAAACTGCCCAATGTTGATTACTGCGTACAGACATATTAAAGTAGGTACTTACTACACAAGCAGTTATTTGACAGCCAAAGGAAGTTGTTAGTCTGATGTCATTATCATAACTATAGGTAGATAATTTTAAAAAGTCCCTCGTATATTATGATGTGCGTTTTAGATTAAGATATAATTAATTTGCTGATATCGCAAGTTCACGCGCCCCTAGAGAAGTTTCAGGAGTGCCAGTTAAAATATCGTTGTAGTTTAAACATTGAAATGATGTGCTCATGAAGATAAAGTCCGCCCGTCTGTTTATCCGAGGGTTTGAGGCTGCTTTTATTGGCGCTTAATATTCATTTAGAAGACATAGGGATTTGTGTGCATTGTTTCCCTATGTCTACTTTTATATGACAAAAACTCTTCTGAAGGACGCCTAATTTTATGCAACCAAAATAACTTCTTAAAACAAATGAAGATCTGGCTATCATATTAATTAATTGGAATATTATTGCTTTGGCTTCCTATTTTCATTTTCGTTCATGTGTGATGCATTCAACTAAACAACAAGTTGATGTTCTCAATTGGTATAGTGCCGGTAATAGTTTGAGGCTTATTTTCTGTGTTGATCACTTTAAAATTAGTAGGTGTTAAAATGCGATGCACATCAGACACCTTAAACAACCTTCAGTTTTAACGGCGGATATGAAACTGAACATTTGTTTTTGTGGAAGAGAATCCCATAAGAAACTTAAGGGAAATAGCGGCCGAATTTAATATCTCTTTGTCATAACCTAAAAGCGTAGGTACTATTTACTGTCACACTCAAGGACTGTCAACTACCTACGTGTAAAGAATAATTATGCACGTTTAGGTACGTGTGGACAACGTATCTACTTTGTCGTGGAGTTAGAGGTTGACTGCAGACTCATAAAAATATGAAAATGGATGAATTCGACGCAACTGAAGAATCCGAAGACTTTTTAAAAATTTGAAGAATCTGCAGAAGTGGAGAACTTCAAAGAAGCGGTAAAAAACATAAAAATCTGAAGAAAAATTCGAAGAAACGAACAAATCTATAGAATATGAATATGGATTCGAAGAATAGGAAAAATAAAGGTCGGAAAAATTAAAACGTTCGAAAAATATTGAAGAAACTAAATAATCCGAGGAATCTGAATGATATAAAACAATCTGTGGATTTGAAGGAACTTGAATAAACTGGAAATCGCAATAATTGAAGAAAATGAAAGAATTTGAAGAAAGTGTAAAATGGAGAATGGAAAGAAACCCAAAAATCAAAGATTTTAAAGAATCTGAGTTCTGGTCCATTTGAGCACAGTGAAGAGTCAGATATGCCCCAAAGACTAAAAAAACTTAGAAGATGGAAAGACATTGAAGGATCAGAAGAAAGTTTCATTTCAAAACTTTCGGTGGAAATCCACTCCATAAAGTTAACGGTTTAATTGCACTGTGTTTTCTTTAAATTTTCTAATTACATCAATGGCAAGTGCGTTGCTACGCGGGATTCTGGGTTAACATATGAACATCGACTAGCTCCAGTTATTGTTATAAGTACGATAATTACAATAAATTGTTTTGAACTATCTTTTGTTTCCTGGCATTTTCATTTTCAGATTTTTCGAACAACGACAACTCGAAAAGTGCCGGTCTGATCAAAAATTGGTAAAGGAACTTTTTATTCAGTTTTCGTTGTATAACGTTTGCGCGAATTTCGAAACACCCTGTATATGTTTATCATTTTCATGGATATAACTGGATTGAAAAAAAATAATTGAAAAATCTTGGTTATTTGAAGTATTTTGGGTATGGTACATTAGGATCTTTTGTAGAGAACTTAATAAGTTGTCATATTGTGTAATAATATACAGGGTGTTTCATATAAAAATAATATATTTGTTATTCTCTGAAAAATGTGATGATTTTTTAAATGACAGATTTCGATTTAGTAGAAAAAAATATAGAATTTTGGTAATTTAATCGTCTTACTAACTCTACAACTGAGAAAGTTAGCAATAGTGTCGACTTAATTTGAAACAGACTGTATAGCAGCCGGTAGCTACTGTTACTACTGCAAATACGCAGAAATGTGGATTAAGAGAAAAGAACTGCTTTGAGAGGCGATGCCTTGGAGGTGTTGCGCTAATTTCGTAGACAAATCTTCCACCAGACGATGAGTGGCACACTTTGGAATGTGGTATGGGGTATAACAGCTCAACAATTAAAATACGATATACTATAGAAGGTAAGTTTGTAGAAATTGAAGTGGAAAATCGTGGATATGGTGTTTGCCATCAAAGAAGAGCTCCAAATGTAGGGTCGTGTAGATTAAGGTATAACTTTGAAAATCGTACATGATAGGCTTCTGAAGACCGGAAGCATAAATTATTGTAATCCTTTGTATATGGGTTAACAATTTGCTAAAAATTTTAGAATATATAAGAAGATCTAAAGATTATTTGTTGAAAACTTCGGAATTTCGTTGATCTGAGGGGCAGTGAGGAGAATTTCCGGAAAACCTAGTGTGAACGTGAAAGGAACGTGAAGATTACGAAAACCTCAGAGCAACTTGAGGAAAGAACTTAGGATGAACTTCAGATATGATAAAGGAGTTCAATAAATCTTGAGGGAAACTTGAAGGGAATTTGAGAACTTGAGACGTACTTGAGGAGAACTTTAAGGAAATTTGTGACAAGATGGGGAAGGTAAATAGAATTCGAGAATTTGAATGAAGCTTGATAGAGCTGGGAAAAAAATGTGAGAAGAAACTGGGAATGCAGGCTTGATGGGAACGTGCAGGAAATTTGAGGAGAGGTTGAACAAATGTTTGATGAAAAATTGAGGGAAACTTTGGTTGAGGAGAGATTAAAATTGAAAGCAAATGAAAGCGCTCGAGAGGCTTGAGTAAGAAATTGACGAGTCTCTGGACTAAATTGTGTCGAAAATTTACAAAGTCACTGTATAGAGCGGATATAAAAGGTAGTTTAAACTCAGGTCTGTTGACGGATCACCAAGAAACTTTTTGCTGATACAGAAAACACGATCAATGGTATACATATCTAAATCATGTATCAACAGTATTAATGTAATAATAACAAAATACGAATAATCGCATACGATTGTAGGGGAATTTTTTGCCACTCGGCTCGCATTCGGAAACAAGACTCTTAATCCGGCTCATATTCAATAGCACTGATCCTTGAACTCGTAGAAATCGATTGCAACAGACGGACAAAATCATCACGTAAAGAGAATTTTTTTCTGATGAAAAATCTTAAATATCAGAAATATTAATAAAAATATTAATAAAATAATAAACCTAACGTGATAGAGAGGGAGGGAACAAAAATTATCACAGCCTAAGGCACAGAATGTTCTGCTAATATTGTGACTACAAGTCAAAAAAACAGTCTTTAAAATCAATCAATTCGGCTCGTATAATAAACGCCTCAAGACGAAGAAGGGACTACATAAGGATGAAAGATATCGACTTCATTACGAAAGTAGTAAGACGGCGAGATAATAAAGCAACAGAAGTGCGCGAGAATTACATGAAAATGATTTAGTAGGTAGTCTTACCATTATTTATTTATTTCATTATTATTGAGAGCAAACATGACGATACACATGATAAACACACAACACGTTATACTCTGGATTAGGTTTGTTGGCAAATTGTCGCACGAGTATAACTGGTTACTCTAGTTATAAACGGGGTGGTCATCTGTCACCTGGACGTTAGGTCATAAGGTCGCTAATATACAAGGGAGTGAGCACGCCGCAAAAACCCTAATAATAGTAAACTGTCAACACATTACTGATATTAATCATAAATGCGAACACGTTTCCGAAATTAAAAAGGAGAATTTTCTAATTTTCCCACTTTCTTAAATCGCAATCGCACCTCGCAGTTGAGATCGTTACAAGAGAGATTCAGGTAAAAATTCGGGATTGACCAATCCATGACCAGTCCGTCCTTTTAAGGGATCGACTACCTGAAAAAGGTTGCTAATGTCTCCGTAACGGTTGCAATCGGTAGCGTTCCATTTCAAAAGGGCTGTAAAAATTAATTTATACTCTTGTCAGTGTAGGAAAGT